ATTCCGGGTCTTTCTGAATCTCTCCACAAGTGGTCCTTGGCTGTTGGACAACTCTTCTGATAATTCTTTTCACACCTCTGTCAGAAATCTTGTGAGGATCACCTGGTCGTGGCCGGTTTATGGTGAATTGATGTTCTTTCCACTTCCGGATTATGGCCCCAGCAGTGCTCACTGGAACATTAGGAAGTATAGAAATCCTTCTGTAACCAATGCCATCAGTATGTTTTGCAACAATAAGTTTGTGAAGGTTTTGAGAGAGCTCTTTTGCTTTTCTCGTGTGACACCTTGGTAATGAGACATCTTTTTATGGGCCATCAGTTGAGACTGAACCAGCTGATATCAATGTGCACTGACAAAGGGCAGGATTGCTTTCTAATTACTGATAGAGTTCAGCTGGTGTCTTGGATGTCCATACCTTTTTGCACCTCCCTTTCTTCCTGTGTTAGGCATAGGTGCTTCTGCTTCAAATCAGACTTACCGAGAACAAAAAAACTGTCTACTCTTCCAATTCTGTGTACTTTCAATCATATTAGGGCTTCCAAAGTGGTAATCTTTTGTGTATTTGTGTTAGGGAGCCTCAGGTCTACCTAACACAAATAGCAAAGAGCTCTCTCAAAACCTTCTCAACCTTATTGTTGCGAAACATACTGATGGCATTGGTTACCGAAGGATTTCTATACTTCTGAATGTTCCAGCGAGCACTGTTGGGGCCATAATCTACAACCATCTACAGGGCACAATAAACAATACTCATTATAATCCCCACATATACCCCATTTCCATCAAAATCATCAAAAGTCCTTTATTTTCAACTGGTGATCCTGTAAGGACCGCACTTCCTGTCCTAGGGCGGCAACTCTTACTCATCATTTTGTGTCTTTGGAGTAGCAGTACAGGACAGAAACAACCTCCCCCTCTCCTCTTCCCCATAACATAGAGGGGAGGGGTTCTTTAGCCCAAAGAGGTAGTTAAGGACAATGTATCTGATAACAGCGCATCATAGAGTGCACAGAAAGTCATCATCTGACAAGATTTTTGGCAGGATCAACCAGGTACAGTGAGGATCGAAAGTTTGGGCACCCCAGCTAAAAATGTGTATTAATGTGCATAAAGAAGCCAAGGAAAGATGGAAAAATCTCCAAAAGGCATCAAATTACAGATAAGACATTCTTATAATACAGTGGGGCAAAAAAGTATTTAGTCAGCCACCACTTGTGCAAGTTCTCCCACTTAAAAAGATGAGAGAGGCCTGTAATTGGCATCATAGGTAGACCTCAACTATGAGAGACAAAATGAGAAAACAAATCCAGACAATCACATTGGCTGATTTGGAAAGAATTTATTTGAAAATTATGGTGGAAAATAAGTATTTGGTCACCTACAAACAAGCAAGATTTCTGGCTCTCACAGACCTGGACCTTCTTCTTTAAGAGGCTCCTCTGTTCTGCACTCATTACCTGTATCAATGGCACCTGTTTGAACTTGTTATCAGTATAAAAGACACCTGTCCACAACCTCAAACAGTCACACTCCAAACTCCACTATGGTGAAGACCAAAGAGCTGTCGAAGGACACCAGAAACAAAATTGTAGACCTGCACCAGGCTGGGAAGACTGAATCCATGATAGGCAAGCAGCTTGGTGTGAATAAATCAACTGTGGGAGCAATAATTAGAAAATGGAAAACATACAAGACCACTGATAATCTCCCTCGATCTGGGGCTCCACGCAAGATCTCACCCCGTGGGGTCAAAATGATCACAAGAACGGTGAACAAAAATCCCAGGACCACACGGGGGGACCTAGTGAATGACCTGCAGAGAGCTGGGACCAACGTAACAAAGGCTACCATCAGTAACACACTACGCCGCCAGGGACTCAGATCCTGCAGTGCCAGATGTGTCCCCCTGCTTAAGCCAGTACATGTCCCGGTCCCTCTGAAGTCTGCTAGAGAGCATTTGGATGATTCAGAAGAGGATTGGGAGAATGTCATATGGTCAGATGAAACCAAAATAGAACTGTTTGGTAGAAACACAACTCGTCATGTTTGGAGGAGAGAGAATGCTGAGTTGCATCCAAAGAACACCATACCTACTGATGAAACCTCCTTCCATCAGCAAGGGCATTGAAGATGAAACGTGGCTGGGTCTTCCAACATGACAATGATCCCAAACATACTGCCCAGGCAACGAACGAGTGGCTTCGTAAGAAGCATTTCAAGGTCCTGGAGTGGCCTAGCCAGTCTCCAGATCTCAACTCCATAGAAAACCTTTGGAGGGAGTTGAAAGTCCGTGTTGCCCAGCGACAGCCCCAAAACATCACTGCTCTAGAGGAGATCTGCATGGAGGATGGGCCAACATACCAGCAACAGTGTGTGCCAACCTTGTGAAGACTTACAGGAAACGTTTGACCTCTGTCATTGCCAACAAAGGATATATAACAAAGTATTGAGATAAACTTTTGATATTGACCAAATACTTATTTTCCACCATAATTTGCAAAGAAATTCTTTCCAAATCAGCCAATGTGATTGTCTGGATTTTTTTTTTTTTCTCATTTTGTCTCTCATAGTTGAGGTCTACCTATGATGCCAATTACAGGCCTCTTTCATCTTTTTAAGTGGGAGAATTTGCACAATTGGTGGCTGACTAAATACTTTTTTGCCCCACTGTATGTCAAAAAAAGTTAGATTTTATTTCCATCATTTACACTTTCAAAATAACAGAAAACAAAAAAATGGTGTCTGCAAAAGTTTAGGCACCCTGCAGAGTTAATATCTTGTACTGCCCCCTTTGGCAAGTATCACAGCTTGTAAACGCTTTTTGTAGCCAGCAAAGCGTTTTCAGATGTCAATATCCTCTGTTCGGAATATCATTAAGAAATGGCAGTCATCAGGAACAGTGGAAGTTAAAGCAAGATCTGGAAGACCAAGAAAAATATCAGACATAACAGCTCGCAGGATTGTGAGAAAAACAATTCAAAACCCACGTTTGACTGCACGATCCCTCCAGAAAGATCTGGCAGACACTGGAGTTGTGGTACACTATTCCACTATAAAGAGATACTTGTATAAATATGGTCTTCATGGAAGAGTCATCAGAAGAAAACCTCTTCTACGTCCTCACCACAAAAATCATTGTTTGAACTTTGCAAATGAACATATAGACAAGCCTGATGCATTTTGGAAACAAGTTCTGTGGACCGATGAGGTTAAAATTGAACTTTTTGGCCGGAATGAGCAAAGGTACGTTTGGAGAAGAAGGGGCACAGAATTTAATGAAAAGAACCTCTGTCCAACTGTTAAGCATGGGGTTGGATCAATCATGCTTTGGGGTTGTGTTGCAGCCAGTGGCACAGGGAACATCTCACGAGTAGAAGGAAAAATGGATTCAATAAAATTTCAGCAAATTTTGGATGGTAACTTGATGCCATCTGTGAAAAAGCTGAAGTTAAAGAGAGGATGGCTTCTACAAATGGATAATGATCCTAAACACACCTCGAAATCCACGGGGGATTACATCAAGAGGCGTAAACTGAAGGTTTTGCCATGGCCTTCACAATCTCCTGACCTCAACATAATTGAAAATCTATGGATAGACCTTAAAAGAGCCGTGCGTGACAGACAGCCCAGAAATCTCAAAGAACTGGAAGACTTTTGTAAGGAAGAATGGGCAAAGATACCTCAAACAAGAATTGAAAGACTCTTGGCTGGCTACAAAAAGCGTTTACAAGCTGTGATACTTGCCAAAGGGGGCAGTACAAGATATTAACTCTGCAGGGTGCCCAAACTTTTGCAGACGCCATGTTTTTGTTTTCTGATATTTTGAAAGTGTAAATGATGGAAATAAAATCTAACTTTTGTTGACATATTATAAGAATGTCTAATCTGTAATTTGATGCCTTTTGGAGTTTTTTTCCATCTTTCCTTGGCTTCTTTATGCACATTAATACACATTTTTAGCTGGGGTGCCCAAACTTTCCATCCCCACTGTATGTTTTGGCCCTGATAGAACAGGCATGACAAAACACTTCCAATGGTTTATTTAACGGACCAAGAGGGAGCAGAGGAGAGAAGTTTGTTGCAGGGGTTTACATAGTCTTTGAGGAATTTCATTTTTACATACTGTATGTAATATAACCGAGACACCTCAGGTATCAAACATAAAAATCTGAAAAAATCTAATAAAATATCACAACTACACTGGTGGCCAAAATTGTGGATACACCTTACATTTTTACAAACTTTTGCAGTTTAAAGTACCTTTTATATAAAAATCTCTAAAAATCTCATAGCACAAGTAAAATTAAATATAGTAAATGAATGCCTTAACAAAAAAAAAAAATTAAATAAGTTCAATTTTGGCTGGAAATGTACCATATGATGCCAGGAATTGATTATTACATGGTCTCGCCTCAATGAGTCCTCGCTTGTTGCTTGGATTCTTGCTCGAGACCATGCGTTTCAATCTTGACCACAGATTTTTGATGGGATTCAAGTCAGAATTTTCTTGTCATAGAACCATTTAAGGCATTTACGAACTGCATGGCATGGAGCTCCATCCTGTTGAAAAGTAAATTTTGCGCCTTTGTCCAATAAGTCGCTTACACAGGTCTGCAAAAAAATGTTTTTGAAGAGCCGCTTTGGTTATTCCACGTAATCTTTATGTTTTTTTTGGTGCGCTGAATCCGAAAATGACCTCCATTTTGTCATAGGACATCACGTTTCCTGACAATTTAGGTAACTATGTTAAATAAGGCAATACCTCAAAATAAATGGAAATAGACTTATAAAATTAAAGTTTTATTACAATTTTTTCATGAAAATCCTTTTTTGAACTGAAATGAGCTCACCTACACACACTAAACTCGATTCTTCTTCCCTGTGAGGCTCCTCTTGGTGCATTTACACTTGTGAGTAGTATCTGGAATGTCTCTCTGAAGCCTCCAACAGTAGTCCGCCATCATTGTAATGCTCCATTTTCCCTGGTATCGCCTTTCCATCTCTTTAACCACTTCCAGTCCGGACACTTTCCCCCCCTTCCAGTCCAGACACTTTTACCCCCTTCCTGTCCGCACACTTTCCCCCCCCTTCCTGACTAGGGCAATTTTCAGCTTTCAGCGCTATCACACTTTGAATGACAATTGTGCGGTCATGCAACACTGTACCCATATGAATTTTTTACCATTTTTTTGAGACAGATAAAGCTTTATTTGGTGGTATTTATTCACCGCTGGGATTTTTATTTTTTTTGCTATGTTAATGAAAAAGTCCAAAAATTTTGAAAAAAAGTGTTTTTCTTACAACATTTTGCAAATAAATAATCTTTCATCATAAATCTTGGCCAAAATGTATTCCGTTATATTTTTAGTAAAAAAAAAATAAGCCAAATTATTTTATAACCAAAAATTATAATTTTTAAACTTTTTTTTTAATTTTTATATTATTTTATTTTTATTATTATTTATTTATTTATTTATTTTTTTTTACATACTGTCACCCTAGCATTACAGTGTCACCATGTTGACACTGTACTACTTGTGGGGGGTGATGAAGATTTTTTTTTTTTTTTTTTACAGTGATTGCTTTTACACCCATATAGGATATAAAAGCAATCATTTTTCCTTCTCTCTGTCTGCAGTCTTGCAGCCATTGAGAAATACTGAGTGAACTGTGATTGGTCACACCTTGTCACATGGTACAAGGCTGTTGTGAATAGCCTTGTACCATGTGATCTCTGTGATCATTCACAGATTTCACACGTAGTAAGCAATGATGTCACAAGTGACATCTTGCTTACTACTTTGCATGTGATCACTGATTTGCCAATCAGTGATCACATGATCGGGACCTCACACAGAGATCCCATACGACGATCAGTGTTCCACTGTGTCCGGAGGACACAGCAGGCACCGGATCGAGGTGCTGCGCGCTCCCAGGGAGCGCGCACAGCTAGAAAAGGCGGGTGCCGTTTAGGAACGGCAACCCGCCCCTGGAGTGTCACCGTCCGGCCATTTATAAACAGCAGGCGGACGGCAAGTGGTTAATGTCTTGGTAGAAACGTTCACCTTGTTCCTCACTCACAGCTCCCAAATTTTCAGGAAAGTAGTCAAGGTGGGACTGGAGGAAATGCACTTTCAAACTCATCAGGCAACCTAAAGCTTGAAATGCTTTCAGCATTCGTCCGACGATCTTTTTGAAGTGAGGGCCTTTTTATAGCCTAAAAATTTCTGTACGACTTCTTGAAATGCAATCCACCCTTCTTTGTGAGGATCCGTCATGGTATTGACAAACTCTTGATCAACTATAAGCCTTCTAATGTCTGGTCCGATGAACATGCCTTCCTTCAATTGTGCCTCCGACAGGCCTGGAAACTTGGTAACCAAGTATTTGAAGCATTCTCCATCTCTTGGAAGTGATTTTACGAATTGCTTCATCCATCTCAATTTTATGTGGAGAGGGTGGTAGAAGAACTTTATGGGAAGGTACCAATGTTTCTCGGAGGACATTTTTTTCACCGACTGTTAGCACCCTCGGCTGCCAACTCTTCTTGGTCCAGTGATTTTGTTGGTCTCCACTGTCCCATAGACACAAAAAACAAGGGTATTTGCTATCCCACCCACTGGATTCTTCAGGAAAGATGAACCCCTTCTACCATTAGAAGTACAGACTCAGGGCTGAGGCTTACACATACAGCATGTTGCTGTAATGGATCGCCTGACAGCACCTCTATCAATCCCCTGGCAGAGCCTCCCCAGAGTGCGGAGTCTAAGCACCGGAGCACTTGTTCACCAGGGCCCCTGATGGTGGGGATGGACTTGGAGCGCTTTGGTACCAGGTCGCAGCTGCTAGGTATCTCCAACAGGGGTAGAGGAGTCTGACAGGAGCTCCAGGGGGCTAAGAGTCTGATGTGAGGGAGCCTAGTGATCCCTGCGGGATGGATGGATGAGCTAAATCAGAATCATACAGGCCGGGTGGGCAACTAGCGGGTCGGTGAGGTACAAAACGGTAGGCAAAGGATAGTCGGGTCACACGCAGGGTCAATACCAAAAGATCAGATTTAAAGGGGAACATCCAGGAGCAGAGTCAGGTAGGCCAAGGGTCAGGACAGGAGAAGGCAGCAAGGTCAAACAATCCAGATCAAGATACTAACAACACAGGTAACAGCATACAAAGACCATTCGGCAACAAGTGTTTGTGCAGAGCTGGCTTAAATAGCCCGCCCTGCACCTGACAGGTGCAGCCTAGGTCCTAGTGCCTGCCTAGTACTGTCAAGACGACGGGTGCGCCTGGGTCCTAGTGCCCTGCCACCTACACGTCTTGGCAGACACCTACGCCTGTGTAGACCCATGCGTCGCGATGGTCCCTGACAGCTGCTGAGTATCCCAGTAGTCAGACATGTCACTCAGAGCAGCACTTGAAATTCACCCCCTTTGCAGGGGGGGGGAGGGGCAGAGATTGTTTACCTGCAAATAACAACAAAGGGCCAGAAGAGAACTAGGAAAATGAGGAAATAGAATTTTTTTTCCCTAAAACTTGCTTAGCTTATGTATATATTGCTGATCATCAGATTTACAGTGCTATATTTTTTTTTTACATAATTCGAACAACCCCTTTTAAGGTTTTTTTTTTGGCATTTTATATCTTAAATGCACCTATGTGAATTAATTAATAGTAATTTGGACTTTAAATTTGATTAAAAACCCATAATATAAAAAAAATACCAAACATTTAAAAAGTTTGATACATTTGAAGACAATTTTGCATTTGGTGGCAAATCATGACGTCTAGGAGTTTTTTCAATATTTTATTTGTTTTCAGCACACCAAAATACATGGAAATTAGATGAAAATAATCAAACAGCTTTTTAGTCGCAGACCTGTGTTATTGATGGGATCAACTTTGGTTCCAGGATCTCTTTGATGTATCGCTCTGCATTAATAATACCATCAATAACCTGCATTCGTCCAACACCATACCAAGACATGCAGCGCCATATCATGACGCTTTGAGGGTGTTTCTTTGTTGCTGTCATGCACTCGGGAAGGCATTCTTCGCCTGACCTTCTTAACACGTATCGAACACAATCGCTTCCGAAAATAGAAATTTGTGTTTCATCACTCCAAATCATTTTTTTTTCCAATCTCCTGTTGTCCAGTTTTGTTGTTTCTTGGCCCATTCCACTCTTTTCTTTCTTTGTTGGCAGTTCAAAAACAAGGGAGTAAGTAAAGATAGCAACCAAAACTGACAAAATCAGAAGGTGTATCCACAATTTTGGCCACTAGTGTAATTCACAAATTTTATTGGGAAAAAAATGAACCTATATCCCGATGGAGCTACTTAACCATTTCAATACCGGGCAATTTTCCTCCTTCCTGCCCAGGCCAGTTTTCACGTTTCAGCGCTCTCACACTTTGAATGACAATTGCGCGATCATACAACATTGTACCCAAACTAAAATTTTATCATTTTCTTCACACAACTAGAGCTTTCTTTTGGTGGTATTTAATCACTGCTGGGATTTTTTATTTTTTGCTAAATTAAACAAAAAAAGACCAAAAAGTTTGAAAAAAAAACACGTTTTTCTTTGTTTCTGTTATAAAAGTTTACAAATAAATAATTGTTCTTCATAAATTTAGGCCGAGATGTATTCTGCTACATGTCTTTGGTGAAAATAACCCAAATTAGGATGTATTTTTTAGTTTGTAGGAAAGTTATAGAGTTCACAAACTATGGTATAGATCTGAATATTGATCAATCATGAAGTACTGACAGTCAATCTAATTTCTTGAGGTCCAAGAATGTCAGAATAGTACAGATATCCCCCAAATGTCAGAACAGTACAGATATCCCCCACATGTCAGGACAGTACAGATATCCCCCAAATGTCAGGACAGTACAGATATCCCCCAAATGTCAGAACAGTACAGATATCCCCAAATGACCCCTTTTTGCAGAGTAGACAGTCCGACGTACTTCATAAGAGGAATGGCGAGTTTTTTGAAGTTGTATTTTTTTTTTTCTTTTGTCATAATTTTTTCGGAAAATGAAAAAAATTAAAAAAATTATTTTCACTATTTTTTTTTTTTTTGGGACATACTGTCACCAGTGCAGTACAGCGTCATCATATAACTGGCATGGCGGTGAACAGGGACACTGACTGGTGACAGTATGAAAAAAAAATATATATATATTTTTTTTATTTTTTTTTTATTTTTTTTTAATTTTTATTACATTTTTTTTATTTTTTTTAAGATTTATTTTTCATATTTTACTATGACCAAAGTAGTACAATGTTACCATAGTAACATTGTACTACTTTGGGGAAGTGATCAGTATTTTTTTTTATTTATTTATTTTTACACAATTTGCTTATAGCAAAGAATTACTTTGCTATAAGCAAGCATTTACCAGAATGAAATCGATTCATTCAGTTTTTTTTTTTTTTTGTGCTTAGCTGTGATTTGGTCACAGCTAATCACATGACATGTGCATGTGACCTGCTGTGACCATTCACAGCTAGGCACTAATATACAATGGATGGCATGAATGAAGCCATCCACTGTATACAACTGTCATGTGACCTGCTGTGATTGGTCACAGCAGGTCACATGGTACCAGCAACGGGGGCCGGTACTCAGATCTGTCATCGGCCATGTCCGAGGTTCACGGCCGGTGACAGATCGCGCTGCTGCGCCGCTCTGCAGTTGCGCGAACTGAGCATGTGCGGGAGCACGCCAAATGGCGTGCACCCGGAATGCAGAAGCACTTTTGCCGCCGCCAAACGGCCATTGGCCGGGCGGCAAATGGTTAATATTTGGTCTTCTGTTGGAAAGTCAAAAGGGAAAAGATTCTGGAAATTGGTTGCACCAGTCTACTGTTCCCTTTTATTGCATTCAGAGCATTAAAAACATGGCAAAGAGATGTTAAAATCGAAATGTATTCACTCCAAGAAGCATCGGTTCCTTTGAACAAAGTCAGTAGGATAGCAGGGAAGAACAGGAAATGACCAAGAAGCAAGAAGGATATAGTTCTGAGGGCCCGTAAATGAACTTGGATGCTAGGACTTTTGAATCCACCAACTGTGCTTTGTATCTTCTTCATATGACTGTAAAGGGAGGTGATAATGGCCACCAAAGAGACAGAAGACAGCAGGAAGCCCAGGAGAGACTCGGAAATGAAGGCTTGACATACCAAAGGACATTTCAAATTCAGCCCATAACTAGATGACACATTTCCATGGAAGACCCCAAGGCTTGAATTTCTGAACGGCTTGACCATAACACCAAATCCCACAGCCCAACTTAATAGGGAAGATGCAAGTAAACACAGAACAGAGAGCCAAAAGATGTTTTTGAAGAAGGTCTTCTGCAAATAGATATAGAATCCTCTGTTGAAGTTCACAATCTTCAGACAGAAGTTCACACAAAGCCAAGTGGACAACCAGAATCGGCAAGAGAAGATGGTCAAGACAACCACCAAGCTAACTCTTACGTCTGCTTGAATGTTCATTTCTGGCATCTGGAAGATGAATCCACAAGCTTTCAGGACTTCATATAATGCTTCAGAGAGACTAATTCCACTGGTTAGTTGATCGGAGATGTGTAAACTTTTAATCCTGATCCACACAAGCATGTTCATAAAAAGAATGAAACTATTTCCCGAGAACGAACAAAGCAAGAGGACGCAGTCAATGCTCCTTAGAACCTCTTCCAACATTTTCAAAGCTTTCCAGTTCAGTGAAATCTTTCTAAAGGTGCCTTGCTGCTTCTCAATCTACCAAAAAACCACCACTTCACCAGAGCAGGACAAATGTGTACGATGTTTGTAAAATGAGAACAGACAGGCATGCAAATTATGCAAAATTGTGAGTGCGTATTTTGAAACATTAATCCATCACATGTACATGTACTTCTTATGTAAATAAGTCTGGATCAAAAATAGAGACAGTTCTGCAATTTTTTTTGGTTACCTGGGATAAAAAAAAATATAATGTTCAGGACTTAAAACAATAATACAAAGTTAGTGAGAAACATTAAATTTTTAAATTTACACGTGTGTGTATATTATCATGTCAAAGTGGCAACATAGGTTTAACACGTTTAACATACTGCATGCTCTTTGCTCTTAATGAGAATAGAGAGAAAAAGTGTGAAAGCCGCATTCTGTCTGGTTTTTGTTTTTTAACCACTTCCCGTCCGGCCGTTGTATACAGTTGCAAGAAAAAGTATGTGAACCCCTTGGGATTACGTGGAGTTTTGCATGAATTGGGCATAAAATGTGCTCTGAACGTCATCTAAGTCACAACAATAGAAGGACACAGTCTGCTGAACATAATACTACACAAACATTAGATGTTGCCGTGGTTTAATTGCACATAACATGTAAACATTCACAGTGCAGGGAGGAAAAAGTATGTGAGGCCCTAGCTTAATGACTTCTCCCAGAGCTAATTGGAGCCAGAAGTGAGCCAACCTTGACTCCAATCAGTGTGATGATATTGGATGTGTTGCTGACAGCTGTCCTGCCCTTAAAAAACACACACCTGTTTTGGGTTTACTGGTTTGAAGAAGCACTGTGTGATGTGAACCATGCCTCGCAGAAAAGAGCTGTCAGAAGACCTACGATCAAGAATTGTTGACTTGCATGAAGCTGGAAAGGGTTACAAAAGTATCTCCAAAAGCCTTGATGTTCATGTGTCCACGGTAAGACAGACTGGCTACAAATGGAGAAAGTTTAGCACTGTTGCTACTCTCCCTAGGCATGGTCGTCCTGTAAAAATGACTGCAAGAGCACACCGCAGAATGCTGCATGAGGTAAAGAATAATCCCAGAGTGTCAGCTAAAGACCTACAGAAATCTCTGGCACATGCTAACATTTTTGTTGACACATCTACAATAAGGAAAACATGAAACAAGAATGGAGTACATGGGAGGACACCACGGAGGAAGCCATTGCTGTCCAAAAAGAATATTGCAGCACGTTTGAAGTTTGCAAAAGAGCACCTGGATGTTCCACAGCACTACTGGCAAAATATACTGTGGACAGATGAAACCAAGATTGAGTTGTTTGGGAAGAACACACAACACTATGTGTGGAGAAAAAAAAGGCCCAGCACACCAACATCAAAACCTCATCCCCACTGTGAAACATGGCGGAGGGAGCATCATGGTTTGGGGCTGCTTTGCTGCCTCAGGGCTGGACGGATTGTTGTCATTGATGGGAAAATGAATTCCAGAGTTTATTGAGACATTTTGCAGGAAAACGTACGACCATCTGTCCGCCAACTGAAGCTCCGCAGAGGATGGGTGATGCAACAGGACAATGACCCAAAGCATACAAGTCATTCAACAAAACAATGGCTGCAACAGCACAGAATACGCCTTCTGGAGTGGCCCAGTTAGAGTCCTGACCTCAACCCGATTGAAATGCTGTGGCATGACCTTAAGAGAGCGATTCACACCAGACATCCCAAGAATATTGCTACACTGAAACAGTTTTGTGAAGAGGAGTGGTCCAAAATGACTCCAGATCGTTGTGCAGGTCTGATCTGCAACTACAGGAAACGTTTGGTTGAGGTTATTGCTGCCAAAGGAGGGTCAACCAGTTATTAGGTCCAAAGGTTCACATACTTTTTCCTCCCTGCACTGTGAATTTTTACATGTTATGTGCAATTAACCTCCTTAGCGGTATTCCCGAGTGTAGCTCGGGGTAAAATTTCAGTACCAAGAGCGGTAACCCCGAGCTACACTCGGGCTTACCATGCGGCGTTGCTCAGGGAGTCCCTGCAGCACTTACCTTGTCCTTCACTCCCGCGATGTGTCCCCTGCAGCGTCCCCGGCCATCTCCTCCGGCTGATGCCGACATCCGAATTCCGTGTTCCAGTCCCTGCGACATCGGAAAGTACGGGCGCCAGAACCGGCGGGAAATTTGAAATTTTTTAAAAATTTCATTTTTGCTGTCATTGCTGTTTCAATGCATTTCACATACATTTTGTCCCGAGTGCTTTGTCCGGCGCCCTGCCTGCATTTTTACTGTTCTTTCTGCCTGGAAACTTAGAAAGGTCCATGGCGTCCAAAAAGCGTCCCTTTATGTCAAAAGCGGTTTTAGACCGGCTAGAGAACAGCGATAGTAAATCAGAACCACTTGCAGAATTGAGTGATAATGATTGGTGGGGGAAATTCGTCATCAGACACTGAAAACTTTGCTCAGCGATGTGCGAACTTGGCGCTCTATTTCAAATTTCAGTGTTTTTGGTTTGATTATATTATTGAATTAAATTTATTATTATTATATTATTATTTTTTTTATGATTATTTATTAAATTATAATTTATGATTTCGTGTTTCAAGTTTTATCTTACCCGGGATGTTTACTAGACTCTTGTTCGGACAGATTTCAGTGAGTTATTCCTAAGAATTACAGCCTACAATAAAAAACTACATATTTCCATGCAAAAAAATGGTACCGCTTTCAG